TCATACACTGCTTGACTAAGTCACCCACATTCATTTAGGACACCAAGAGACAGTACCCTGCACCTAAGTTCACAGTGTATTAGGTATTCTATGTACCACAGCTTTGTATGTGACAGGGTTTATTAAATTAAAAACACACGTAGGGAGTCATTCTGATTGAAACTTGTTCCTGTATGGCAGCATATATTCCTCTCCTGCAGCTACTCTTAGAAAACATTTAGTAACAATTATGATCTCTAATAATCCATAAAATATATCTGTAATCTTTATAGGTAAAGGTTTGTCTTGTAGTTGCACTGTAGGCACCATATACTGTATGTTAAATCTGTTTGGTTGTCCCTACTTCCACCATCTTATATTTACAATCTGCCTCTAGCATTCTAGAGGATGTCTACAAACAAGACAAGCTTACTTTCTTTTTATCATTCATTGTGCATAGCAAGAATAAAGCAATGTTACTATATTGAACTGCTCACAGTTTTCTTTACTATTTCCGTATTCATGGTGCACATTAATCAGATATCCGTCAAGAGCGAGTTAATTAAGGATATGTCAATCATGTTTCTTTGTCCTTGGAGAATCAGAAAAAGAAGTATGTTCCACAGCTAGGCATAAAATAGCTAGACCATGGAGATTTTGTCATCTCTTTTAACATTAATAACACAGAGTATAAATAATTAAAATTAAGATTTTTTTTTACATTCCATTGGCTGTTAGATTAGAAATATTCATACAGACCTTAATGGCTCCATATGGGCTACTAAGAGGTCTGGGACCTTACTGATGATGTTATGTCTGGGGCAATTTACATTTTTAGAAAGGCTTATTAGTCATAGGAGATGTTATCATGGTGCCAAACTATCATCCAAACTGTCAGGGCAACCTTGCAAATATTATCCATCCCTTAAATAATATTTTTTATTAAAGTTTTACTATGGAGAATACAACAGGAAAAGTGAGAAGACAAAAAAGGTGGTGGTTGGGAATATCCTAAACACCTAAGTTGTCAGGAACGGAGACAAAAACTATGAACGGCAGTTCTTAGCTAAATACCTCCTGTAACTGAAATATCAATTGTGGACTGACCCTTTAATTTTCTGTATACTGGAGCTGTTTTCTATTGTCTCTTATTCATAGTACCTACCCAGAGATAATGCTTCTAAAAAATAGACTGTATATTTCTGGGGCAAATCAGTGTCTTTTGGCTGGGTGACCTGTAGTTATAACCAACTGCCAACAAGCTATGTCCACTGGCTAGACACTTGTCAAAAGTACTCAGATTGGGAAGGCCACCTCCAAAGCTCCTGTATGGCTACAATAGGCATAATCAGAAACAATGCAACAGCACATGCACATACTGATAAATCTGCTGCATTAAAGACTGAAGGAGCATAATGCACCTCATCGCTAGTAGATAATTACAGAAATTGGGTTGTCAAAAAATGTGAAGACAAATTGTTTTTAGTTCAGTAAAGAGATTGCTCCACACTAAATAGAAGATGCTTGAATTAGGGCCAATTACTTTGATTAGGAGTTATCCCAGTTCCTGCAAAAAGATTAGACTATGAAAGAAAACTTGATCTGCACACCCCTTAATCTGAGGGTGAAATTCAGTTTGCTAAAGACAGATAAGGATCCCACAAAGTGTGGATCACATTGGCTCGTTTTTACTTATTATAAAAGATGCCAAAATCCTGGCAAAGGTCCTGGCCTTATGTCTACATGACTTTGTTAATTCCCTTGGTATCCCAACAACTGCTGACATCACTGGTTGATAAAAAGGATATTGGGTACCTGCACAGCATCCTGGTTTAAACCCCCCTCCACCGCTTTCTGTCAGCCTTGAGATCACATTATCAGCATGGGGGAGAGAAAATGAGGAAAATGAAATGGTGGAACACTAGTCATGTGCAAAAATTGCTTTTGACGAATAAATACCCTCTAACGTTGGGTTTCGCATGTGTGTGGATGCTGCCGCAATATGTAAAACTATTAGTTTCATTTTTTACATTTTAGAATGGGGTGTCTCAAGATTGTCCATAACTTTAAAGGGTGCCTTGACTGGAAAAAGGTTGCGAAACCCTGCCCTAGGTTACAAAACTAGTTTTATACCACAGATTTAGGATTGACATTCACTGCCTATTGTTTACATTTATTTATTTGCAATTTTTCACAATAATTTATAGAAGGAATATTATTTCCCTGAACTTACATAAGGCCTTTGACAGTGACAAGTGGCCATATCACTTGATAGGACGTCACATCTGGTTACGCCAAATGTTTTTGCAGGAATTTTGTCCATTGTATACTAAGCTCTCTTTAAGGAATTGGATATGTAAGTGTTTCTGGCAATATCCTACCTTTTCCTTAATGATCAAGCAGCAACTAAATACATCCATCCCACTTAAATATCAGTATAAGTAACTTGGAATGTAATTCAAGTAGAACTATTACTCATTGTTCTGTGTGGGTATTAGCACTTTTAGGCAAGAAGCCAATTGACACTGCAGCCCCACACACTTACCAAAGGATCACATTCCCTCCTCAGCCAGTGGCAGAGCTGTCTTAATGCACGGGCACCGCCCAGGGGCCTCAGGTGCATGGGGGTCCCATGATAATTTTGCATTACTTCATACTTGCCAACTGTCCTGGGTTTGCTGGGACAGTCACGCTTTTAACAAAGCTATCCCGGAATGGCTGTCCCCAGAGCACAGCCCTGGAACCTGTACTGTGCCCTCTTGACTCCAGTATTCAGTATTGTGCCCTCCTGATCTCCCCGTACTGTGTTCTTCTGCGTGTACTGTACTGTTTGTGTTGCTTAATCTTTGATTTATGGCATTTATTGTTTTAAATTGATTTTAAAAGCACTAATACATATATGTTTAATTCTATCAACTCTTCAATTCTTGAGAGTAGGTGCGTAAATTTGGGCAGGCTGGTAGGGGCCCCAGTGCATTACTTTGCCCAGGGGCCAGTAATGCTACTAAGATGGCCCTGGCCAGCAGCTAGGTCTGTTCCTACCTGGTCCGACAATGGACTCCATAGAATTTTGAGCAAGTAATGCTAAGTATGTGTTAGGAATGGACTTGCCAGTAATGGTGGGACTCACCTGCCTTGTGGGCTGCAGTACCAGGGCTGGCCAGCGGGTGCTCCCAGCAATCAGAGACTCAACCCTGCAGCCAGCCAAACACCTGAAACTGCTTATGCAGGTGTATTTAAGTGATGGCCAGACCTGCAGTCTTTGCCTTGGTGTGTGTTTTTCCTGGGCCCTGTATCTTGTTCCTGCATCCCTGTTCCTGTTCCTGTTCCTGTCTCTGTCTCTGTCTGATTCGTTGCTAACCCTGCCTGATCCGGACCTCTGCTGACTTCTCCTGTTTTATCCCTGGCTTGTTACCCCGACCATTCTCTGCCTGACCCCCCTGTACCTACCTGCCCGATTGTTATTGGCCTGCCTGACGACGCTTGCATTGTATGTATTATCTGGGGGTGGTTTGGTTTGGTTCGTTTGCACTGTGTTATGTTTTAGTATTGCACTGCGTTTATGTTTGTATTGTTAGTCTTTAATAAATTATATTGTTTATAACTTATCTGAAGCCTGCGTTTCCCTGCGTCAGTCACATACCTCTGGTCATACCCTGGAGCCCTGACATTACACCAAGGCCACTCCTGACCAGAAGTGGCTGCACAGGGAAGCCATCTTGGCTTGTTGCTGGGAAAGATGGATCTTGATGAGGTTGTGTATTTGTCGCTGCTGGTTTTTGATGACAGAGAATATGCTTATCAGGCTCTGAAGGAGTATACCCGGGATCAACTGCTAGAATGTATACGGATCGCTCATGTTCTAGTAGATCAGGGCACAGAGTTCTCTGAGGTGCAACCTTTGATTCAGGTTTGTGTAGAGTTGGCTTCATCTGGTGCCCCTGAAAGCAGGAATGACTTTTTGCCGCCATTTAGTGCAGACCAGGTAGAGTCCCTGGTATGATTATTAGAGGATGATGTGGATTGCTTCTTGGAGCATTATGCTGCATGTTCACCACAGGTATTAAGGGATTGTATAAACGCAGTGCAGTCTTTGGTCAGACAGGCTTTGTGTAAGCTCAGCTTTGTTCAACCCATACTGCAGACATGGACAGATTTGTTGCACCCAGCCTCAGTCAGCTTACAAAAACCCAGTACTGCTTCTAATCCAGTGGTTCTTAACCTGGGTTCGATCGAACCCCAGGGGTTCGGTGAGTCAGTCTCGCGGGTTCGGCGGAGGTGAAGACCCACACCCGACTCATATGATTCGTGCAGTAAATATTCATTATTATATTTCGTGAGAAAATCATGTTTTTATTGGTTTTGTTCTTAACGGTTTTGTTAATTTTGTGCACCTATGTATAAATATATACTATGTTTTGAATTTTAAATATCATATTTTATTTTTTCCAATTAAGAAGGGTTCGGTGAATGCGCATATGAAACTGGTGGGGTTCAGTACCTCCAACAAGGTTAAGAACCACTGTTCTAATCTATTTCCTCAAAGCTCTATTCCTGCATTCCCAACAGCACCTCCAGTTACAGCCCAGTATACCCTGCTATCTACCGCATGTCAGTACCCTGTTCCCACTCGCTGCACTCCCCTGTTCCATCCTCCAGCTCTTCTCTGTCTCAGGCTGCTCCATTCGTTTGCAGACCTGCGTTTACTTGGAGTGCTCCAGTAGTTAAAACCAGAAAAAAGCGAAAATTCTTTCCTACCAGTACCATCCTGCCAGTATCCAAACCGGTGAGCCTGCCGTCTGAGAACCTGCCTTCCGTGGTTCAGCCTGGTGGCTCGACACCCGCACTTCAGCCTGATGTCTGTACCCAGCCTGATGTCTGTACCCAGCCTGATGAACTGATCCAGCCTGATGATCCTATCACGCCTGATGACCCGGTGCCCGCTGTCATGCCTGGTGACCCGATGCCCGCTGTCGAGCCAGACGATCCAACGCCTGATGACCCAGTGCCCGCTGTCATACCTGGTGACCCGATGCCCGCTGTCGAGCCAGACGATCCAATGCCTGATGACCCAGTGCCCGCTATCATGCCTGGTGACCCGATGCCCGCTGTCAAGCCAGATGATCTAGCGCCAGATGACCCGGTGCCCGCTGTCGATCCAGACGATCCGGTACCTGATGACCCAGTGCCTGCTGTCATGCCTGGTGACCCGATGCCCGCTGTCGAGCCAGACGATCCAACGCCAGATGACCCGGTGCCCGCTGTTGATCCAGACGATCCGGTACCTAAGGACCCGATGCCCGCTGTTGAGCCAGACGATCCAAGGCCTGATGACCCAGTGCCCACTGTCATGCCTGGTGACCCGGTGCCCGCTGTCGAGCCAGACAATCCAGCGCCAGATGACCCGGTGCCTGCTGTCGAGCCAGACGATCCGGTACCTGATGACCTGGTGCCCGCTGTCGTGCCAATTGACTCAGAGCCCACTGTCGTGCCTGGTGACTCGGTGCCCACTGCCTTGCCAGATGACGCTGTGCCCGCTGGCGAGCCAAATGACCTGATGCCTGGTGACCCAGTGCCCGCTGTCATGCCTGGTGACCCGATGCCCGCTGTCGAGCCAGACAATCCAGCGCCAGATGACCCGGTGCCTGCTGTCGAGCCAGACGATCCGGTACCTAATGACCCGGTGCCCGCTGTCGTGCCAATTGACTCAGTCCTGCCCGATGTGCCGTTGCCCGGAGTCCTGCCCCGATGTGCCGCTGCCTGGAGTCCTGCCCGATGTGCCGCTGCCCGGAGTCCTGCCCGATGTGCCGCTGCCCGATGTGCCGCTGCCTGGAGTCCTGCCCGATGTGCCGCTGCCCGGAGTCCTGCCCGATGTGCCGCTGCCCGGAGTCGCTTCCCTGCCCGATGTGCCCGCTGCCCGGAGTCCTGCCCGATGTGCCGCTGCCCGGAGTCCTGCTCGATGTGCCTCTGCCCGGTGTGCCGCTGCCCGGAGTCCTGCCCGGTGTGCCGCTGCCTGGAGTCCTGCCCGATGTGCCAGTCTTTGATATCCCGCCAGTTACCAGACCCGGGCGGTGGAACATTTTGCCCAGCTAGGACTGTTTGGAGCGTCCTGAGGCTGCTCCTTAAGGGGGGGGTACTGTTAGGAATGGACTTGCCAGTTGGTGGGACTCACCTGCCTTGTGGGCTTCAGTACCAGGGCTGGCCAGCGGGTGCTCCCAGCAATCAGAGACTCAACCCTGCAGCCAGCCAAACACCTGAAACTGCTTATGCAGGTGTATTTAAGTGATGGCCAGACCTGCAGTCTTTGCCTTGGTGTGTGTTTTTCCTGGGCCCTGTATCTTGTTCCTGCATCCCTGTTCCTGTTCCTGTTCCTGTCTCTGTCTCTGTCTGATTCGTTGCTAACCCTGCCTGATCCGGACCTCTGCTGACTTCTCCTGTTTTATCCCTGGCTTGTGACCCCGACCATTCTCTGCCTGACCCCCCTGTACCTACCTGCCCGATTGTTATTGACCCGGCCTGCCTGACGACGCTTGCATTGTATGTATTATCTGTGGGTGGTTTGGTTTGGTTCGTTTGCACTGTGTTATGTTTTAGTATTGCACTACGTTTATGTTTGTATTGTTAGTCTTTAATAAATTATATTGTTTATAACTTATCTGAAGCCTGCGTTTCCCTGCGTCAGTCACATACCTCTGGTCATACCCTGGAGCCCTGACAGTATGTCCTAAACTCCACCAGCCCTATCATGTCTTCACTTGATACTGTAATCTTTGTTTATTATTTTGCACCTTTTGTTGAGTCCGCCTAATGAGCACACAGGGAAGCCACTGTACTTCTGATTTGCAACGCCTTCGAAGCGTGACCACAGGCTAGGTCCTTAGGCAAACCTAGATGGAGACTTAGCTTCATAGTTGGGAATATGAAGTTTTTGCACTACCAGGGTTCCCGTCACCTTCTTCCCCTGCTGGCTGGGCACTACTCTACACCTCTACCCCACAACCATAAATCTTGACTGTGATGAACACTTACACACTCTCACACTTGTAATTGTTTCCCATTAACCTGAAAGGCTAATATGGCTTCTCTTCTAATGTTAAATCGGTAGAAAACTATGCTTTATGACTTATAATAAGGCTTACCTTTAGGTACAGTAAATGTCTCCTAAACGTGTACCATTTAGGAGATATTCACATTTGTAACAACTGGTGAAGTCACTGGCACATGGAGTATGCCGTCCATTGAGAGCATTGTGCCACGACCATGACTTCAGTGCACATGTGTGGGAGTGACATCATCATGGCCTAGCCGTTCAAACGGCGAAGAGCCTGAACCTGGCAGGAAGACTGGGTAAAGATGGAAGCACTGACATGTACATATACATGTGGTAACATTAGCTGTAATTGGTTGAGATCTTTGGCTGTGCTGGTTTAGTTCCACATCCCTACTGGTGCTTAAAGACAATGGTGCATAAATAGATAGTGCCATCAATACCTTATGATGTAGTAGTCCACAGCAACAAAGTCCATAACATGTGGCCTTCCTAATAACAAGTCGCTTAGGAGGGTGTTACAGCTGAAGGAGTAACTACATGATGATATAAGTCCTCTCTGTTTCCCACACTAGACTCCCCACCACAAGGTTGTCTCCCCTGCATTTATGCCCTTCACAAGGGAAAGTGAAATACCTGCAGGGGAAACTGTGCCACAATTGATCAGACCCCTACAGCATCAGCCAAAACTTTAAAGTTACATTACATATTGGCATATTAAACACACAAACCCATAACATAAAGTAGGCATCTGCCTACGTTTATAATAATCTCTTTTAAAAAATCAAACAATGGATCCCACTCCCACTGGAATTTTTGTAGACAGCTAGTTTACCTAAAATAATTTATTTTTAAAAATGTGTGTACTTTTTTTATGCTTTCTGCCAAACTTACAGAGGTTTGCGATTTTTTTCACTGTCACTCTTGTTTCTGTGGGACCAACAGACCATTTTGTGCATCCTAAAAATATATATATACTGTGTAGATAAGAACTAACTTATGTGGCATGTCTTAGTTTCCATTAATATTATTTGTCTAATGGATATTATTATTACAAGATTAAAGAATGTATACTTTCTGATAAAGTACACTTATGCAGTCTCCCAACTCCCCTAAATCAAAGGACACAATTTTCCCCTGTCAAAGATGTCATGGGCCTGGATCCTCAAAAACCTCTTTGTGACCATCTCAGGAGTGTCCCCAAAGTACACAGCAGTGGGTCTTATATAGTGTCAAGTACACATATTTCAACAATTTCTACAAGATTTTGGTGTTATCACTAAATCTTACTACAGTTACAGCTTGGTGTAAAAATGACTCAATAGTACATATTGATCCAGAAAAATGTTTACTAGATAGAGGCAAAAGGTAATTAATTACTACACTGCTCAGATTAAGAATGTAAAGATACCAACTCTAGGATGCCCTACTGTAGACCTGGTGGAGATTTGAGGACAAACACATGACCATCTCGTCCAAGAATAGGGCTCAAAATCTTTCATCAAAATATACTTTACACATGGGTTGATTTCCAGCAAAACGACCTTGTAGGCACACAACCTTTGGTGTTTAGAAAAAGTATCAAAAGTATGAAATATAGGCTTCTAGCAGAAAAAAAAACAGTTGCCTTGTCTATAAGCGCTAGGTGTTTGATAATTTTGCACTTTTTCGTACTTAGGCTATTTGCAGATAACCCAGTAAAGTTGCTTCCCAATGTAGTACCCCCTCTATGTAGCCAGGGGGAGCTAGATAGGTTTTTTTTTAGTTAGGAAGGCTGAGTAGCAGCCTGGGACTGAGTCAGATGGGTCAAATGTAGGTCAGGGTTGAAGGCTCTGCAGGTCAGTTCCTTAAACCTCCTCCTGCTCTAGAAACTTGGAGAAGATTCTAGAAGCAGTGGGTGGAGGTGAGGAGGGGCTGGCCTGCACACTTAGAGGACTCTGACCAATCCCCAAGCAGCAGACTTTGCATGGGGCCAGGGCAGCCTTTAAGTGTGAGACAGCCTCTACAGCAGCAGGAGAGTTGGGTAGAAGGTGAGGTGAGAGCTGGGATGAAGGAGCCTGGGAGGGGGCCAAGTGGGAAGGAGCTTACCTCCAGGCATAGCTGATGGAAAGGAGGATCACTCAACTTCAGGAGTCCCCTGAAAGAGGACCATCTGTGCAGCAGGGAAGGAGCCAGCCCAGCAGAAGGCCTGAAGGCAGCCACTAACCCAACAAGCTCACAGAAGAGGAAGAATGAGATCTCTTAAACCCCCTGGGTCAGATCAGGGGAATGGGTGTTCAGGTGGGAAACCTGGCTAGCCCCCATCTGGAACTTTGCAACTAAAGAGACAGATTCAGGGTCCCTTTGCTCAGGGATTCACCCAGTACAACTGGATGAGGAGAGTATTCATCTATGGTCTGGGGTGGTAAATCAGGAGAGGCTGGAGAGCTCTCTAAGAAGAGATTTGCTGTATAGAGACTTGTGCATAGTTGCTAAGGAGTTGTCTTCAGTTGCAGTTTCCTTGGGCATCCCTTACCCCCCTCAACCCCATCCAAGTTCAATACCCTAATAAAACTTAAAAAAAAACAAACTCAAGGACTGTTTACTGTCTTCAGAATGCAGGTCTGTGAAAAATGCATGTTGCCTGCTGTGCAGGATTATGGGGGACCCAAAATTTCAGCAACTCCCAAGGGGGTAGTGCTACACCATAGTATATATGAAAGAGGAAAACCATAATATTTCAACATGGGAATTGATTGGAGTTGGATGGAAATTGTATGCAGAAACGTCCATGAATTGGCCATTTTTAGCATACTTTTGGTGAAATATGATGGGAAAACATACATACATTCTCATTAATTTGTTTGATTGACATATAATGCTGCAGAAGAGAAACTACTGACAAAGGATGTCTCATGGTATTTTATTATGCCTTAACAGGGATATTGCAGAAGGTTTTCAGAGTGGCCTGAGGAATGCGGTTCTTTCCTATGCAGAAGATGAGGGAAAAGCTGATGCTCTGGATGCTATCCAAAGAAACCTACAGTGCTGTGGTGTCCATAGTTATAGTGACTGGTTCGAATCATCGTGGTCCTTGGAGCAACAGTTTGATCGCCTGGAACACAAAAATGGTTCAGTACCCAGCAGCTGCTGCCAGACACGTAAGGGATGCCACAATATCCCTTTGGTTATTGAAGTGTCAGGAATCCACAG